GAAGTAGAGAAATCAAAGGCCGAGAAAATAATCACCGCCTTCGTATTTACTTGTCTGTGCACTTCTGTCAATCAGATAAATTACGGTCCAGAATTGGTTGCGAGAAATTAATTGACAATTACCTGTTATCCTGTATACCTTGTTTAGTGGACCTTCAAATTAGCTTTTTTGGTCTTTTGATATTTACTGAAAATATACAAGCGTGAAAAAAAAAAGCTGTGGTGGTATGAAAATTGTATGTATAAGTACCTGAAGTATGTAAAATAATTATATTGTATAATAAGATTAATGTTTCATGATCATAATATATTATTGCTTCAACATATGCTAGAATTTCTTGTTACCTCGAAAATAAAGGGTGTCATTTTTTTCAACAAAAGAATACATGGGGATAAACCTATCAAACATGTTAGAGAAAAGACATTTAGTATAAAAGAATGTCATAACGTGGAGGTATCCCATACTACCTTAATTAAATGTTTGAGTAACATTAGTTGCGTTCTTTCTGTTAATCCCAAAATGCATTGTGTAGACATTCTTTCATACTAAATGTCTTTTCTCTTACAGGTTTGAAAGGGTGTTTAAAATTAATGAAGTTTTTGTTGTTTGAATACATGTACATATCGTGAGATGCTTAAATGCATGACTTCATGAATATGAATTGTAAATCAACATACATGTTTGAATTTGAAATAAAATGTCCCTAAAAATGGGATAAAGATGAGAACTCTGACACTAAATTAAGTAGATGGTAATTTGTAAGAAGATATTTTTTCAAACTCTAGTCTGACAGGAAAAGGTATAACTTGTAGAAATTAGTTTAGTTTTGATTCAAAATAAGAACTGTCAAACTCGTTTAGAATTTATTTAAAATCAGAATGGTTTGTGTTTCAGGCCATTCATACTTATCGTCACATGCTTTTTATCTATTGTAGTCATTTACATATTCATAACCAATAAAGTTCTTGTGATTCCTAAAGTATTGATACAATGATCATATAGTATTATTATATATAATACACAATTATATTGAATGATACCAAATATGCAATACTAGGATGCACTGTATTTTGGAAACATTTTTCCTCTACTGTGTTTCAAGTGAGAGGATTAAGAGCCGTGTCCATAAGACATAAAATTATCTTTCCTCTTGAGCGCTCTGAAATACACACAAATCGATACTAATTTTTTTGAAGTAAAATTGTAATTATAAAAAGGATGTACTTGAAAGTTCTCTTTAGGATAATTCAAAGCATAAATAGTGTAATGGACATGTGATTCTTTCCTGTTTTGAAAAACAATTGAATTTCAAGATAGCTAAATGATTATCAAAAGTACGAACAGGTGGATAAATTTATATTAGGAATATAAAGTCATGAAGCACAAACACGATGAACAACATCAAAACTAGAACAAGAAACATTGTATTTTCTATCGAGTTATCGAAAAGAATTCAAAATGTTTCCTCCAAAGGAATTGATTAACATTCTTTCTCAACACCGATTGCAAACTTTGGGACAAGAAAATATAATCTCTTTCTACAGACAATAGAGCATTTTTGTGCGAAAGATGTGTGTGTGTGTGTGTGTCTAACGACAAATCATTCAGTATGACAATGTGTCAGCATGTAAATTAAAAGTGTAATCATGTATGAAGAAATATCAGCAGTTAAAGACAAAGTAGCAGCAAATTAAAGCAGCATATAAAGTCAAAGTAACAACATGTAAAGCAGCATATAAAGACAAAGTATCAGCATGTAAAGCAGCATATAAAGACAAAGTATCAGCATGCAAAGCAGCATATAAAGACAAAGTATCAGCATGTAAAGCAGCATATAAAGACAAAGTATCAGCATGTAAAGCAGCATATAAAGACAAAGTATCAGCATGTAAAGCAGCATATAAAGACAAAGTATCAGCATGTAAAGCAGCATATAAAGACAAAGTATCAGCATGTAAAGCAGCATATAAAGACAAAGTATCAGCATGCAAAGCAGCATATAAAGACAAAGTATCAGCATGTAAAGCAGCATATAAAGACAAAGTATCAGCATGTAAAGCAGCATATAAAGACAAAGTATCAGCATGCAAAGCAGCATATAGAGACAAAGTATCAGCATGTAAAGCAGCATATAAAGACAAAGTATCAGCATGCAAAGCAGCATATAAAGACAAAGTATCAGCATGTAAAGCAGCATATAAAGACAAAGTATCAGCATGCAAAGCAGCATATACTGAATACTTCATTGTACGATAAAACCTTGACATTTCATGTACAGCTCCGCGCACTTTTTAAGCTCACATGGTTTTTCGCACAAATTAAAGTCACATTGTTACAATGTGATATTATGTAATGAGACAACAAAATATATTTAAAGGTGATTTTTCATCTTACTTTATTTTATGTCATTTATAAAAAAACAAAATTCACAAATAATATTTGGTAGGACTTGGATATACTCTTTGCTGGAAATATTACCATACCCAATCGTTCTTGTGGTCGTCATTGCAGCCGTCTCTGTATCCATTCTTATGAAAGACGTGCATTTTGCAGGAACGAAGCTCTTCACTTATGTCCTTCATATAATTTTTATAGAATTGCTGTTTCACTTAATTAGGGATATCATGTTTTATTTTACAATCCTTTCCATCTTCAATTCTCGAACTGATTTGCATTTCCTACATTGCTAAACTTTTTAAGATTCTCTCTTGACTATGGGTGACCCTATTTTCCTTGTCTAGACACAGTTATTGTTACTTCTATTTTCTGTACATTTACATGACTCCGTAGCACAAGATGATAACGCAGTATTTCTAATCTGTTCAACTGCTTTCCATGTTAAACAAACTGGCATTTTTCAGAGTTACTATCTGAAATCCAGCTTCAAAAAACATCCTTCCTACTGCAAAGATACACAGTTTCAAACCTTAAATATAAAAGAATTTTTCTTTCAATACTAACAATTTATCATTTTTAAAGATAAGCAATGCTTTATTATCCTACCTCTTCTGGCATGGTTTCCATCTCCAGCTATGTCCGTTTTCGGCATTATATATACATTTCGATAAAATCAAAAGGAGTATGATAAAAGCGAAGTACTTTGAAGAATATTCACCTTTAAGATGTCAGTTTTTTGTTGTTTTTTTTTAAAAAAATCAACTAAATAGTATCAAAGCAAGCTCGATTAATTCTATTTGTAAATATTTATGGCAGAATCATCAAACTTGTTACATCGTACCATTTATAGGTAAACTCCCCTTTGAAACAGCGACTTTGAAAACTTACGGTAATATTTTTAAAGGACATGTACCTTTAACATGAGATATCAAATGCATCTCAGGGTTAATTTGTCGTACTTTTGTTCGATAATGTGAATTATTATTATTGTAATATGGGACCTTAATCTGTGCGAAAAATCATGTGAGCTTAAAAAGTGCGGGAGCTGTTTATGATTCGATTTCTTTGTTATATAATACTTTGACATTACGTGCTGAAACCTTGTCTTCATATGCTCTCCTCTCTAAGGGTTTTAGAGGTCCGTGCTTGCTCTGCTCCAAATTTGTATTGTTTCACTGGGCTTTTGAGCTTGATTACTGTTCGTTTTTTTTTTTTCATATTTCATGCTGATATTTTGTCATTATATTCCGAAAGGACATCATCATCTGCTGATATTTCGTCATTACATGTATATCATGATACTTCATATTGTGATGAATATTTGTAATTTTTCGGAGCAATTTTATGCAATATTGGTGAATTTTTAAAAATCAAACTTCCAGAAAGCAAGACAGGGGATCATTTAAATACGTGTAGAAAATTGCAACACGCTTATGAATGTTCTAAAAAAAAAAAAACGCTGAAAGTGATTTCAAGTAAATTTTCTAATGTCGATTTCAGAATATTTAAGTTTGGTTGAATCCCAACATAATCAACACAGATTCTAAAACTCTTTTTAAAATACCAATGGCTTCAAACATTTGGACAAACAGTTTACGAACAATATTTGGAGTTCTTTTTTTCCGTTTCAAAATGTTCATAAGCATGATGAAGACATAGTTTCTCCCATACAAGCAATATGATTTCCAAACGTGTTTAAATTAGCCCCGATTGCTGAAATAATCATCTCAGCAAAGACATAATTCATTACATTATGAAGAAGCACCATAAAACATGAAAGAATCAGCATATAAAGTCAAAGTACCTTCATATGATGAAGATTTATCAGCATAATGTCAAAGTACATTTATAAGCATATAAAGACAAAGAATCAGCACGTTTTGTCGCATTATTATCATGTCATGAAGACAAATTATCTGAGAAGTACCAGTATATAACGGAGTATGTAAAGGAGACATTATATGTTGAAGAATCTATCAGTATGTAAGGACAAAGTATCTCAAAATAATGGGAAAATATCAGCATATAATGAAGAAAGTACATTATGAATGTTATCCACGTAAGGCAGTTGAGGCTTTCCATTAAAAAAAAAAATAAAAGATGAAACGAGGATTTAATCCATGCTTGATGCTTGAAATGAACAATGATAAGAATTAATGCAATTATAAAGTTTTCCACTTTTATTCGATTTATTGATCAATGATTATCCCGTTAACTAAAATAATTAGCCACTCTGTTACTACCCAATGACTTAAAATTTCAATATGTGACAGAGATAATTTAATTAAGGACTTTCTTAAAATTACTTTTTGTACATTAATATTATCTCAACCAATACAATAAAGAAAGAAATAATTATATTGAAATTAATATTACGAAAGAAGGCTTACAAATGTTTGTCAAATACATGCTTCATTCTGGCATAAACACTTGACTGAGGGAAATTTGCCATTCCAAAATTTGCATGCTAGCAAAGCTATGTCTCGTGTTGACTTTTTATACATACACTTGATTTTTGGATAGGGATCAATAAAATTATGATTTTACATTTTCTAGAGTGAAGGAAATAAAATTTACCTTTTTGTCACAAAAACAGAAAGGAATTTAAAATGAAAAAGATTTTTTTTTTATTTTGTGTTATCTTAGGTTTCACAAAAGCCTACGCAATCTCCTGCAGAGATTCTTTTCACAAACATATCCGAATGGACAGGCACTACAGCTGACCGCCTGGATGTATGGCCTGTCATGCAAATCACTACTGCAAAAAAAATCATTTGCATGTTTTATTAAGTCTAGTAAGAATATTTGTATAGGTAAAAATTCATACACACAACTCTCTCTCTCTCTCTCTCTCTCTCTCTCTCTCTCTCTCTCTCTCTCTCTCTGTGTGTGTGTGTGTGTGTGTGTGTGTGTGTTTTACCTAGGTCCATAATTACAGACTACAAAAGTCTTCGTCCCACAGTCAGCCTTTCCACATCCGACATATTCTGAATCTGCCCATGTCACCTTTGATTCCAAAAAAATAGATTTGTGCATGATTAAGCAATTATGATAATGACAATTTGATAGAGGTTAAGTAATTATTGGATATGGAAAACCCGATTGCATTAGTCAAATGCCCAAGTGAACTTTGATATAATAAAAGTGGTTACCTGTGTGTAGAACTCGCAGAAAAAGAAGAGTTGACATTCATTTGTCTGGATGTTGTAGAAGTTCCCTTGCTGGCTCCAGTATTGAATTGCATTAGAAATGTTTGAGCCTTCTGTATTTGAATTGTATATGCAATATTAATGCTAGCATTTTTCATTTTATTTAGCATTTTAATAAGCATCTTAATACTTTGGTACTGAGGTTTTTTAAGCATCTTGTAAATTTTTAAAAAGTATTTGTGAAATGAAATAAGTAAATTAATTTCCGAGGCACCTGCAATTTACCTTTTTGCATACTTAGTGAAGAAAAGGATTCTATTTTGTATTATTTCAATAATATATTTGTCAGCTTCTCTTGCTGTTTATTTTTGGTGTCCAACACACATATCATACTGACAAACAAAAGAAACGCACCAAAAAGTTAACTACAAAAATAATTTAAATATTATTTTTATCTTCTGATATTTAAAATTCATGAGAGAATATAACAGATGAAATTAATTAGACATTTGATTGAAAAAGATCTAATATTATCCACAGGTAACTGTTAAGCCCCTCCACCCCACATTTCCATGCACATCAGTTGCAGCTGTGATTCTTCATAGCATCGAATTCATTAGTCTCTTGATTTGAGCAAAAAGAATATTCCGTCCGCCTTCATGTAGTGCCTGTTTCTCAGATACTGTATTGGAATACCTCAAACCTGGGGCAACGTAATAATCATTGGTCCTCCGGTCCGAGGACTGTCACCGTTTGAGCCATTGAATAAGATGTTTTTATAGAGGCGTGATATACAGCATCTTTGCACCTATAACACTCTTTCAACTTCATTCGGATAACTTTTCTCGAGAAGCAATTTCAGTAGGTTCATATTGCCATTTTTAGAAAGCCTATCACGTAGGGAAAAGAAACGAGAACTTTTTTCCCAACATAATGCTACTAGATCTATACTTATGATGTACAGAAACAAACTCATGTTAGCACAAATCATAACCGAATTTGTTGAAAAATGGGTAATTCAAGGTTTCGTTTTAATTTGGATTGGAACAGGAACTGGAAACGGAATAAGAATCAATCAGCCGTTAAATAATAGATTACACAAAATTGAAAATGTCCTACCTCTTACAGTACAAAATTATACCCTTATGTCCGATTTCTTTCTGAAGAATGGATGTTGCGTTTCTTTTGCGTCAGTATATACAAATTCATAATTTTTAAAACCCACAGAATCAAAACCTTATCATAAGGGATGTCAAACTTTGGCATACAAAACAATAGGGGAAAACTTTTCAAGAATGACTGTGGCACAAGTGCTCAAAATAATATATTCAGTACTAGAAATCTTATTGAGGTTAGATTTAAATATTTGGTGTGCCCTCACGTACTTGGATTGGGCCACAATTTGAGGATGAAGCTTCGGTTGGAAATGTACAGGGATTCTTTTCACAAAAACAGGTAAACCGTCCTTTCTGACAAATTTTATTTCTTAAATAAAATCTGCAACATGACTACTTCTGTGAAAATTCACATCTCCTCAAATTATTGATCAAGGTGGGCCCACAGTAATGTTTTTTTTTTGTGTTTGTTTTTTTTTTTTTTACGAAGCAATATATATATATATATATATATATATATATATATATATATATATATATATATATATATATATATATATATATATTCAATTAAAAAAAGATTTAATGAATTCGTTTGGCTATTGATCCAAATATATGTAGTTGAAAACATGCACGAATACTATAAAACACTACAGCGTGTCAATCGCAAAGTCAGGAGGGAAAGGAATTGGACTCAGCTGAGCGCGATGTGACCACTGAACCTATAGTTATATAAATACATAAATAAACTTACTTATTCCTTGAAATATGTTTTCACCAACTCTGCTGAATGTGTGCGATTCTCTTGATCGGTTATCATTGTGAAGAAACGAGCACCTGTTTGCGTGCTGTTGTGCAATTGATTCAAGTTCCCGAGAGTACATCTACAAGTATGATCAGCATATCATTTCAATGATTGCAAGACAATCTGTTTTACCTCTAATGTCAACACATTAAGTCAAGGTAACCTGTAATGACACTACGATATCCTATAGCAGGCTATCTTGCCAACCTTAGCTTACTCTACAGAAACATATTCTGAAAATATGTCATAATAGTCAAACCCATAACCGTCATTAATTTAATTGTTAACCAGATGCGTCAAAATTATAATGCCTTATTGTATCAGCAAATTTTCACACTGGCCAAAATAACGCGAATTATTATTCTCGTTAATAATTATTTGTTTTGACAATTAAAGCATATTTTATTCAATTTTTTTACTGGCAAATGTCAAAAAGTTATAGAAAAAGAAAAAAAATATTCGTGGTCATTCTATTTAGTTTTATTCATTGTCTCCTGGTGTAATCTCAAAACTGGTTAAATATAAATATTGAACTGATAGGAAATGCATGTATATGTCAATCTTGTAAAGATGAAAATACAACGGATACCAGAAGAATCGGGGTGGAAAAGCATTAAATTTTTCTCTGGCAGCTTCAAGATAAATATCTGGTGGCAGCCCTTTACTTTATCTGGTGGCCGCCGTTTGAAAATTCTGATCGCCGCCAGATAATTATCAGGTGGCGGCCCTTTACTTTATCTTGAGACTGTGATATGAAATATCTGACAGCCGCCATAATAGTTTATGGCAGTTACCAGATAAAATATGGTTTGCTTCCCTGGTGCATTTTGGCTTTCCTTAATAGCTGCAAACGTACCCAAAAAAAATCAAAATTTATTCATTTTTTAACCATTTTATAGATTTTAGTCTCCAGTTTTCATAAGTATTTGAGTTCTTCCTGTCTACATAATTGAATAAGTCAATACATACCAGTCTCTTCATGTTTGCTGCTGGTGGAATGGCATTTGATCGTATATCATTATGCTCCTGCAAAAGACAGAAAGAACTTCAATACATTAATCCTGTAAAATATAAATACATCAATGAGGTAGAAAGTCAAAGACTCAAGTCAAAAACTTTTTTAAATGCATGATTAATTTAATGCTACATGTATTTGTTTTGAAACTCCTCATTAAATAATTTATAATGTGGAATTTTTGGAAATATAATGTAATATTCAAATGTATATATGCACTTAAATAGGATTTTACGCTAAGGCAAAATAACTTTTTTATCATAAAGGATTAATTTCGTATTATTTCTTCTTTGACAGTCTTTTGTACGCTTTTTAGATCTGATGACTTTCCTTGAACAAGAAGATAATTTTTCTTCAAGGTGATAAGACTAAGAAACGGCAAATGTATTCTTATCAAAAAAAAAAACTTACCTGAACATATTCAACCCAAGCTGTTGCATAGACCTTGACGACCAGTAACAACGGAAGAACTGGATATTTAGCCATGTGTGTGATATTAACGACTGTCTCAGAGTGATTGGTGAGTATAAGCATGTCCTACTGGTAGAAAAGCCGAGTTTTTATACACTTGTGATGAAGAATTTATTTTGGAAAGTGCACATTTATCATGCTATGTATTAATGTCTTTTCGATAATAGATGTGATTTTTGTTGAAATATTTTCATGTACTTTGTATTTTTTCCTCCAGGTAGCAGACATGTAAACATGTTTTGTTTTTCTTTAAAAATTACTATTGAAATTCAGTAATTCCAAAACAACAAATTAGTAATTCATCTTTGAATAGAGGAAAAAAAACAATTCAATAATTATCCTCATATATAAAAGTACAAATTGATTGAAAAAAAAAGATCAATCAGTGTCTGTACCGATATGTATTATAAATGTTAATGAAGGCGTCGTTTTGAGTTGCAGTTCATGGTGTAATTATATCTTTCTAATCTAAGTTTAAAAGAATATTAAGAGAATGAACCATAATAATATTAAGAAAATTAACAAGATAGAATATGTCAAATAAATTAACACATACCGTGATCTGAAAATTCCGGGTTTATAATTTTTATTATGTTTACTAAATAAACAAGATGTCTACATAATTACATTATACTGCTTTGTAGCAGAAAAGGAGCGATTTGAAGTTGACTATCAATCATTGTAATTTGCTCCGGATTTTAAACATTGTCTACAGATTATCGACCCTGCGCATGCATATCGTTTAGTCGCCAAACGAGTAAAGAAAAAATAATTCAATACATTGAACCATAAATACATGATTTATTCAAAATATACATCAATCTGTAAGAATCTTAATAAAAGATATCATTATAATTCGGAAACAGATTATATCAATATCTGTGATATTTGTTGGTGCGGATTTAGCCGTGGTGGTGGTGCGGTTTATGCGTCGTGGTGGTGGTGGTGGTGGTGGTATGGGTGTTGTGATGAGTGGTGTGGGGGTGAGTAGTGTGAGAGGCGGAAGATTTTGTACACAGTTTATTCTCACAATGATAACCATGTGGACATTTGCTGCAAGGTGTTCCATGGGTGTAAGGAATTTCTCCACGATAGTTTCCGCTACAGATGTAAAATTTCAATGAAATGAAGGCAAATGCAGGCAATATGAGATTTGAAAAGGAATTTATTCATAAACAATTATATATCTTCAGATTTCTAATTTTGGACTTTGTATTAGTATGATGAATTGAATTACATATTTAAATTTAGGCTATATGTTATTTTTTAACATTTACCCTGGTCCATAGTCGCAAACGATAAAATAATGTCCGTCAGGACAATGTTTAGTAGCACATCCTACATATTCAGTGGTCGCCCAAACTTCCTTGAAAAAAAAGAACATATGTAACAAGATTATGCCTGTCCAATATGCATAAAATACTGAAGTTTCAAACATGCAGACAACAGTATACTGTAATTCTGTCAAATAAAATGCGCGAACAGCCGTATGAATGTTTTTTAATTAATAAAACAAAACGTTTATAACGTCTGAAACTGGTGTCGAAGATGAAAATGTTATGGTTAATTTTAAGGATAATATAATTCTGTACCGTAGAGATAGAATCTTGATAAATGTCTCTGTGCCAGATTTAAGGTAAAATAATGATGATTCGGGGGAGAAGGGGGACAGAATTGTACCAGTTTGTGAGTTCGTCTTACCTGTGTGTAGTGGCCGCAGTGTCCCTTTAAGCAAGTGTTGTTGGCGTAATTGTAATTTACATGTTCTGCGAACCAACGGTCTACAGGGTATTCTTCCGTATGAGCTCCTGAATTATAAAAAAATCTTATTTCAGGGAGGAAATAGTGTACACCAAAAGTTTTTATTATCCTATTTCTTTATTCTCAACGAAATATTAACAGCAGTTAAGGCGAAACTTCATGAGTACTGTACAACAATATATTCGAGAAGTGGATTAATCAAAAGGGGATACACAAAAATTCCAAAGGGCTTTTAGAAAATTTGAAATCACAAATATTTTACCTTCTCAACAGTATCAAAGTGTACTACTAATCAACCTTTTATACAACCATTCCCCTGACCAGGCTTTTAGACATCATAGACAAATGCTTCCTCGATAAAAAGAGTTTTAACTCGTAATTTTGCATATCGTGTCATTGATCATCTTCAAACTTATTTTGGTTAAAAAAACATTCGGATTCTACACACAAGTACTCCAAGTTTGATAGTTTAAAGATGCTCGATTTTCTCATTGCCAATATGTAGTTTTTGGACACCACGTCTTCCAACAGCTGTTGGAATTCAATTCCCATTGGTCTAATTGTGTCCCGTTATTAGGCCAACTTAAAAATGTTTGTTTGCCCTCTCCCGACTTGGGATGTAAAAATTGGTAGGTAGGTAAAAATTTATTTTTCCAGGAAAATTTCAAAATCTATGCTGAATTTTTTAAAAATCTGGAATGCACAAAAAATTGCTTCCTGGGGGTTTATCAAGTTTTGAGTCAGGCCAGTTTTATCAAGTCGGTCGGGAGAGGGTAACCAAACAATTTTTGAAGATGGCCTTAGCAGACCTATTTTTGTACTCATATGAAGCAAAATTTATTCAAAAACTTGTACATGCAAAGAAAAAGTCTCTTGCTGTGATCTTCAACTGATATTTAGATATATCGACGACTTTCATCAACTAACAATATTCATTTTCATTCCTACAATGATTCGATATATCCCATTAAACTAGAAATAAAAGACATCACAAAGTCCGACACATATGCTTCATATCAGGATATTTTATAGAGAAAGAATTTCATGACAAACGACTAAACTTTATGGGGAAAAAATACTTCAACTTTTCTATCGTCAGCTTCCTTTACTTATGTAGCAATGTACATGTACCACTATCACCTGCATGTTGACTTAATGTTTCCCAGTTACGCAAGGGCATATTCTACGTAAGAAAACTTTCTGAAACGAGGTAGGCTATTGACACATTCACATATACTAGTAAATTGATGATACAAGGATATCAACAATCTCATTTTGCAAATCCTATGGTCCATACAATGACCTTGTTTCGAAATACAATCTGTTCGTTAGGTCGAATGTTGACTGACTTCTTTCATACAAATTGTTAGGCTATTATTTTCACACTGAATTGTCTACGGATGTTTCTGTTAACGCGATCATGACAAGGAGCACAAGGCGGGTGTGACCAGTCGACAGGAGATGCTTACTTCTCCATGGCACCTGATCCCAACTCAGAGGGGCTTTGTTCACATTTGTATTGTTTAAAAGGATTGAGCATGATCAGTGTTCGCGTGTTATTTTCACATCTCATGTACGTATTAGAAAGATAGTTTTGCAAAAAGTGAACAGAGATCTGTGATAAACTAAGATTAAATTCAGGCTTAAGATTGCCAGCTAAGAGTAATATTTGATCGTGAACGTCAAATTGGCTTTTATTCAGTATTTCCCAGTACATCTTCATTGTACATGTACTTTAGTAGGTGATCTACAGATCTATTTAAGCTTCAGTTGTCATAAATATATTAACTATATGGCCAAAATTGAAAATATGTTTAATGTTTCCCCTAACGCGACCGACCCAATTAAATCGCGCCGACTGAAAAGTTTTTTAAAATAAGTTTATTCAAATATTTTTTTTTATTGTTCATCAACTTTCATAAAATACAATTTCACCAAAATCCGGTTTTTATGCGAATGACCGATTTTGATCTACTGTGATTTTCAAGCGTTTGTTGGAAACAAAATGGTGCCCATAACATTGTGGTTTCAGAGGGTTCTTGTGACGTATTCACCTTTTGCCTTTAGCTTATTAGAATCCTACTCACTTGTAACATTTCGTTAATAAAATTCACTATGACTAATTATGATTTGGTGATATTTTCAAACCTATCTTTTAAAATTAAGGTACAGAGTAGTCCCCTTAAAAGCAGACGAGGGTCCAACCTTGTGAACACATCAATCAATTTTAAATTTTATTTAATCTGAGACAGTTCATTTATGTTCTTATGTTTACTATATGTGATTACAGGAGTTGTATGATATTTCATTCCGATGAATAAAATTCAGACGTTCTTTATTCATGCCTTTTACTCTTGGGTTAAGCTTCATGACTATGACATCGTGTATGACATTTTATCATTTTAGATCATGGTTTGGTTCAATTGAATATTGTTTACAAACTCTTTCCAGATATAATTTTGAAATCGTGATACAGCTTCCTGAGACGTCCAGTGTATTTTTCTTTAATTAGGCCCTTGGAGATAGGTTGTTTCTTTACTTTAAATACCTTTGAGAACTGTTTGAACATTTGCCCTGTGAAGGGCTCCAAATTTAGACGTTTTTATTGACGGGGCACAAGCATATAGTAGCTTTGTTTATATAGTATACTATATATCGGCAAAATTATTGGGGGGGGGGGGGAGGGGCATGGCCACCCCCCGATTCCTACGGCCATGTATCCTGAATGTATAGAATGTAATAGAGAGGTTGAGATTTCATACGTGTACGTGTACGGATACGTCTAGTAGGGGAATTCCCGAAATGTTATTTTAAATATTTGAAAATTATGAGTAAAATGTTAAAACTGGTTTTGAACTATATGAAAGTCTTAGATGTTGTTATGTTTCAATTTAATTTTCACTTCTCACCAGATAATCCTTACTTTATGACTTTATTAAAAGGGTTTATAATAGGTACTCCCCAAAATGGGAGTGTGTAAGATATGATAATATGATAAGAAAACGATTAGTTAGCAATAATTAATTTGATCGTTTTTGTCATCTGAAATCTTCATACCTATTGTGGGTATATAAAAAACGTTTCTCTTTGATGATGTAACATATTTATCATAATTAGTGAACTTTATTTCGATTAAGTAATTTACATTGAGTAAAGTGGTATATTGCCATTTCCGTTTATCTTGTTTTTTTTTAACTTCAGGTTCCGTTTTGAAATTCAAATACTTCGAAATCTTGTGTTTTCGTTGGACTCTTCATTTTTTTGCGGCCGATTTGATGCTTTGTATCACTCTTGATTAAAAGCCTATAGTGGCTTCTTTCCTGTCAATCTGTGGTGCGCAGGATTACCGTCAAACATCACTATTTTACGTGTATTACAGGTATGAACTACAATTTCATTTCAAATATCCGGGAAATGCCATAAATTACGGAAGTGCAACGAAATTCTCAAAATGACAATAAAATAGATGGTAACTTTAAACGTATTCATTTTTAATGCAACTTTTCATTTTATGTTTTTGTTATTAAAGAGTACTAGTACTTGTGTATTTTCTGAAAAAAAAGTCTATTTTTTTGTTTGTACGCCGTATGACCATACGACCATACAATAACACATTTAAGAATGATAAAATCCTTATTCATGGCTACTATAGTATATATTTTACTACATTAATTCAGTTTTACTCAAATGTGACGGATTAACACGTTGTGTTTGTTTTCAGATTAACGTGTCTCTTATTATCATTTAAAACGTGTTGCATGTTTCAACGATTATACCAGACAACCGTTGTATATAACAAATATTTGGCATTTCTTTAGAGTACAAATAGCTTTAATTAAAAAATAAACCAAAAGTTTTCAGAACTTCTTGAAAAATTCATAGTAAAATTTCCCCAAAATTTTAAAGAAGAGCCTATATTGGTTATTTTGTATAAGAAAGTAACATATGTACATATGGAATAAAAATAACCAATTTAAAAGGAATGTTAAAAGAAAACCGGAAAAGATATTGTTAAGAAATAAATTGTTTAACAACATACAAATCTTAGAGTTTTATGTGAGAAAGTTTCATTTATTTTGATGACTGGGCCGATTTAGCCCCTTCGTGGATTTAGCTCTTTTATAGTCTGACCAGTCTCAACGTCCCACAATGTGATTTGAACCTGCGACTTAGAATTACATTGTAGCTCCTGACTTCGGAAGCCCAAATTGAAATTCACAATTCGAGGCCCTTGAAAAAGTATTTTGCATATGTAAGCATTTGAAGCTGATAGTAGGTTTGAAAAATATACTCGGATGTCCAGTCTTTACGTATCTAAGTATTTTTAAAGTCTTTTTTTAACATTTGATTTCAATAAATTTACACTTGCTTGAGATATTTTACAAGGAATAATTGTTGTGAATTGTAAATTTACCTAAAATTTTGCTTTTAAACGGCAATTGTTTGATATTCTGTTTACAAATTACTATCTTTTGTACTTTGTATTATTCCATTAAATTGCAGAATGTATTTTCAAAGCTGCTGTCAGGAAAAAAAATTATTTGCCTACCTACCTATCCCACTTGAGATTTTAGGGTCGGGTTAGGGGAAACAAAGATATTTTTAATGATGGCCTTATAACTTGAATTTTGCTTTACAAATGTTCGATCTTTTATACTTACTTGTAGACCACTGAATGTTCTCTCCCACATAATGAAATGTCGCAGATTGCTGAGATCTCAAAGAATTATGTGATAAACTGCAGCCATCTGCCCATTTTTGTGCTATTTTTGCCAGTTCATCGCTCCAGATCTTACAAAATATATTAAACACAAATTTATTTGGAATATGCAACTTGATTATTCACTGTGTAAATTTATTACTATTGTAATGTGTTAAAAGAAACATCCTGATCAATTATTTATTGTTAATATTTTATCTATATCATTTAAACATCGAAATAAAAATTTTGAGAAACTTGTATTTGCAATATATTTCGAATTGCATTCTTTCAGAATCTCTTAAATCAATGATCATCTTCTAGTTCACCATTAGTAATACGGACTATTGTATGTTGAGAAGTACTTAAAAGAATAAGTTCAAATTGCATATTAGTATCCCTTGCTACATAAACAAATAAATGCAAATAGAAACAATGTAAGTGTTTAAGAAATGTTGAACTGGAAATGAATTGTTGCGGCATCTTAAAAATCACATGGTATTTTAATACTTGAAAAAAAAAACACTCACCAATTTCTTCATGTTGGCGGCTGTCGGGTGAACTGAAGCACGCAACTTGTTATGTTCCTGTAAAAAATATGAAAAATTGGGATGTTAGATAAAGGAAAGTCTGTATATAAGAAAAGTGGACATTAGGTAGATTTAAGTTCCATATGGCGTGTAAAACGTTGCATTATTACTGTAATAAACAAATCTTGCGCTGTACTTGATAAGTCTTGTGTCTTGCATGCAAAATCTTGTTATTTTCGAAAACAAAAAAAAACTTAATTGTTATTCGAATACTCGTTATTCATATTCAGATGCATGTGCTTTATGTTCTAAATCGTGTAAAGTCCATAATTTTTATTCATGTTGAGAATTATCATTTTTATAGGAAATCCTAGTATGATTTATATGGCGTCTCCACATGAGTGAAATATTCTCGAGAGGGACGTTAGACAACAAACAAACAAAATATGATTTATTTGTTTATATTCATTTGTATGTTTAGATTTATATTATCCCCGGCGATATATATTTATAATCTAGTAATTCATATGTGTTAATCTTGTGATTTATATGCCAAAAGTTGATATCAATGTTTACAAAGTTGATATATTTATAGGCAAATATTCAAATATTTTCTGATTCATATTCGAAAATCATATTACTGATTTAACTGATTAATATGCAAAATTTTGTTAATATGGAAAAATGGAGATAACAAACAGTGATCGTCCCCCGAAAAATCTACAATCAATATAAATTTGTAAACGGGGCAAAAAACATAAAATCCCGGAATTGAGAGGTGGGGTCATGTGAAATATGAAAATAAATAAATCACTAGGATAAAAAAAAATATAAATCACAAACTTTTCCGAAATAAATATCACGATTTTCATATAAATTACAAAAATTCACAAATAAATCATCAATTTGTTGCAACATTGGATTATTCTAATATGAATAACAAGTTTTCGAATATACATACCCAATTTCTTTCATATAAATTTCAAGAATTCACATCTAAATCACATGTGTATTGAATATGATTAATAATTATCAAACATAAATAAAATTAAGAATATGAATCATACATTTACGAATGTGTTTTCGATAGGGATGTCAACGAATAGTCGACTATTCGACTATCAGTCGAATGGACCGACGATCGAATAATGAAATGACATTCGAATATTATTATAATTTAATGCTTACTAAAATAAAAACTGACTGCATGTACAAACAGATTTATGAGTTCAATTGACGGGAAATCACACATTTTGGAAAATTTATAAAAGTTTCTTAATTTATTTCATATAGTCATGCTTTTCACGCATTAAGTTGCATTGATTTTGATGTTACTTTTAAAATAGATTTAGATTTTGAGTTATAAGTACGCCATATACCAGTGAAGTTTGAAATAAAATTTTACGTTCAGAAAATATTCCGAATATTCGACTATCGTTCTAATAATGCAATCGAATAATCGACTAAGGAAAATAAATATTTTGACACCCCTAGTTTTCGAATATGAATACGAAGTTTTCGAATATGAATAACAAGATTTTGCATATAAATTACAATTTTTATCTAAAACAGCAAAGATTTATATTATAATGCAACGGTTTACATACCCCAGGTTTAATTTCAAGATCAATTGGTAATTTTAACAGAAGACTGCATACTTTGATTCATAAAACACATATACATTCGGATTGGATCAAGTGAAATGTTTATTAAGAATATTGACGATAATGGCATTTCTCAAAGCATTGTCTTAAACTTCAAGAACAAAAAAAAATCCCAATCGAGAATAATTTAAGTAACTTAAAATTTTGTGTTGTGGGTTTTATTTTTGATTTTAATATTCTCTTGTATAATCAAAATGTTTTCTGTGATTTGAAATTCGGATAAAGGACATGACAATGTGTCAAAAACAAAAATACGTTTTTTAAAAAAAATATTTTCCTACCAAGAAAATGCGAGAAAATTTTACTTTAAGAAAGAAATTATACAGAATTTAAATATCAAGAACCAAAAGTCAGAAGTCAATGAGAATAAATATTCTTCAAGTCAATTTTACCCTGCATGAATTTGGGTGATTCTTTTAGGAAAATAATGTCCTACCGATAAAAAGTCGCACCATGATGATACAAAGAAACTTGCTGTAAGCACCACACACAATAAAGATCTTGGAATCGTCATCTTTGCAAATGAGGAGTCAAATCTGTGTATCGAGGTTAGATTTTATACTACATAGATAAGGTAATAATAATGTGGGACTAATGAACGCCCGCCGTAACCTAGGTTAATAGATAACCAATGAAAACTCTCTGTGTATTTTCTTTGAAAGTTTGTCTTTACTTTCGAGAAAACTTGATAAAAATTTAAGTAATCAAACTTTGATCTACTCATACCTTGACCTAAATCTGAACATTAATTTAAGTTTTATCTTTTTTTGAGAGTTGAAGGCTAAAAAATTGCAAATTTACGCTTTGACTCAAGGAAGACGAAAAACAAGGCAGAAAATGTTTTGGATAAAAATGATTTTACAGAAAAACTCCAAACTTAAATACAAAAGTATGTAAAGAAAACCAGATTTGACCCAGTGCTAAATGAATTTGAAGGTCTTGGTCAAGTTTTCGTGGCAGTGTTTCTAGGAGTATAACATATGTTAAGTAAGATAAGTAATCCTAACCTTTTCCATGTTGTTTTTATCCAATTTTGGTAAAGCTAATATTGCCATTAGATAATGAACATTCTTTGATAAAATTGATGTGCTATAATTAGAAGAAATAACCAATTAAGAAAGCTTCCTTAAAGGGGCTTTAGCCTTGTTTTTTTTTTATCCTTGAAAGGATTAATATTTTTAGAATAATTTGTTTAATGACTTATTTTAAACAACAAACTGTTCCAGAAACAACGTCATTGCTTTGGCAATTTTTGGGTTTGTTTAACATTGCGATTATGATTAATATGACTTTATATATATTTCAGGTGGCGTGTCTGTCTGTCTGTCTGTCTGATATTACTCGCACCTTGCGTTTCTTTTTTGACTCTGCATCTTTACCCTTTTACCATTTAATGTAAAAAATTTATAAGTAAATTTTACAAAATAATTGCAACAAGAAGTATCTGACTTTAGTCATAAAATTTCATCAGTGGATAGACTAGATCATGTTACCTTGTCTTTTTATTTTAAGATAAAATTTACTTTAAAATTGGTATAAACGATAACAGTAGTAAAACTGAAGATATACGACAATGGCTTAATTCTACCTATCTATCTGATCTATTGTGCTGTTCTGGCATTTATCTAGAGAGGTGATCTGAAAGATACCCTTTCTCCTTTCTGGATAATGTCTTGGAATTTGATCTCAAAGACACTTTTTGTCCAAGGTTGAAGATTATTGGAGTATTGCTTATAACAGAAATCCATGAAAAATATTTCATTGCATACTACTATAATGATTTTCACTGCATACAAGTATAATGATTTTCACTGCATACTAGTATAATGATTTTCATTGATTATGGTCACACTTTTTCTTTAGGCCTATACCATATTTACTCTTTTTTTATGTTTTGAAAATGTATGTCTATATGAAACGGAGAAGATTATGCCAATCGAGGAATTTCTTCATCAATCTTTTTAGCTCACCTCGATGAAGTCAAGATAAGCTGATGCTATACCCCAGCGTAGGCTTTAGAGTCGGCGTCCCGGTTAATGTTTCAGGAGCAGGTCCATTCCCAAGTATCTATTAGCCCTACCTGGACCAAACATGAATGGATGACATCTAAGGATATACACTTAAAACTTGCTTCAGATGCTGGATATGACCTACATTTTCCAGATGAGTGACCACTGACCAGGTTAACGTTTTTGGAGCAAGTACATTCCCAAGGACCTTTAAGTCCTACCTGGACCAAACTTGCAAGGATGGTGCATCTAGAGATGGACACTACCAGACTTGATCTGACCTACATTTTCCAGATGAGTGACCAAGTTAACGTTTTTGGAGCAGATCCATTCCCAAGGAACTATAAGTACTACCTGGACCAAACTTGCATGGATGATGTATTTAGGAATGAACACTACCTTACTTGTTCGGATGCTGGATCTGACTTATGTTTTCCAGATGAGTGACCAGGTTAAGTTTCTGGAGCAGATCCATTCCCAAGGAACTACACCTACCTGGACCAAACTTGCAAGGGTGATGCACGTATACTATGGACACTATCCAACCTGCTTCGGATGCTGTATCTGACCTAATGTTCAAGATGAGTGACCAAACTTGCAAGGATGATGCATGTAGGGATGGACACTTTCCAACCTGCTTCAGGTGCTGTATCTGACCTAATTTTCAAGATGAGCCATCAAACTTGCAAGGATGGTGCATGTAGGGATGGACACTTTCAAACCTGCTTCGGATGCTGTATCTGACCTAATTTTCAAGATGAGTGAACAGATTAAAGTTTTTGAAGCAGGACCATTCCCAAGTAACTTTTAGCCCTACCTAGACCAAACTTGCTTGGATGATGCATCTAGGGATGAACACTACCCAACCTGTTCGGATGCTGGATGTGACTTACATTTTCAAGATGAGTGACCAGGGTAATGGTTTTGGTGCAATTCTATAACTATATATAGCCTGCTATGATTAAACTTGCATGGTTGATGCAACTAGGGACAGGTACTACCAGACTTTATTCGGATGTTGAACTGTCCTACATTTTTTGGATGAGTGAACAGGTTAAGGTTTTTTGGAGCAGGTCCATTCCCAAGTAAGTACATGTATAAGTCTTACTAATGGTAACCTAACAACAAAACTGTATGATTAACGTGACGACTTCAACTTTTCCATCGTCAACTTCCCTTATTTATGTAGCAATATACACTTATCACCTGCAGATGGAGTTTATGTCTCCCAGTTGATTCGACACGCAATTAATAGCATGCTCTACGTACGAACAATTTCTAAAACGAGGCAAGCTATTGACAAACAAGTTGATGAAACAAAGATATAAACAGTCTTGTTTGAAGTCAACATGATCCCACCCCTGATGCTTTTAGGAGTCTGTGTTCGCTCTGCTCCCTATTTGCATTGTTTCATTAGACTTTTGAGCTCGATTACTGTTCGTTATCTTTATAAAACAAAATATTTACCTTATATACCTTTGCTTGCACAGAAATAAATAGTGAATGAAATGGTTCGTAATTTGAATTTCTAACTAGGACATCTTTCAAAATTAATAAAAAAGGCAAAACATAGGTTTTTCACTTTAAGAATTAACACAAAGCATTTATAGTGGTTTGAAAAGGCCTAGTCAAAGACTGTTGAATTTAACGTTTTATGACATGCAATATTATTTAAATCCTCGTTCAAGAATAGCCTAACACTATCACTGACTCTGTAATTAAAAGACGAATACATGCTTGGTAAAATATTGTTGATATCTTCATTGTTAGATGTTGAAGAAATAATTTTTCAATACTCGTCATTTTCAAGATAACAAATTTTTCACTTTCATACATGAAATGAACAGATGAAATGGATCTTCTGTTATTTGTGTATATTATAAATATTCAAGGTGTATTTATAAAAGTAAAAGTTTTTTGACGTTAAACTGTCCTTAATTATCTTGGGGGAAAAACACTAATATAATTTTCCTTTTCAGACAAAGTTTTTGTGATTCTGATAAGTGCAAAAATTTATACCCTCATAGTTCTATATATAGCAATTTCGATGTTTCAATGGTTACTAAAAAGTGAAATTTCGGCAAAATTCTTTTAAAAGTCTCATCCTTTTTAAATATTTGTTCTGATTTCAGTAAAATTTTGAACACAGGTCAGCTACACCTGTACAGAATTTTGTAAAAAAGGTTTTTGATTTCAGTAAACAATGTCGCAATAGTTAATAAAATAGAATGACGTGTAGAAACCATTTTAAAAAGTATACAATGTACCTCCAACATCAATAAAAATTGGAAGATAAGTGCACTGGCCTTAAGTTCATGGTTCTATATATCATTGTTGCCATAGCTACTAAGCTACCATAAAAAGAATATGGAAGTCTTTAAATAGTGCTACTCCTCCTACTGATTTGATTGATTTCAACAAATCGATTTAAAAAAAAATCAGAATACGTACATGATTCTACATGTATCAATGTAAAACTAAAATAAATACCCAGATGCTACTTTTCTCTACAAACCAGTAGAGCTACAATATCATCTATGGAAATTAATTGTTGACCGTCTGTTACTAAAATGAGTTTTGGATCTTACCAACCAACCCCCCTTTTTTTATTCGTGTATAACCCTCCCCCCCCCCCCCCCCGAAAAACGATGCTAAATTCATGTAAACTTGTAACTTGTAAACTTGTAACAAATAGTTGCAAAGTAATGGTAAACTTCAATAGGTTGATGGGTGCAGTTTTTTACTCTTTACGTAGAGAATGGCACTGGTATCGTGATCTTTGACCCTGGTGTTGTGGAAGATCGTGAGTTACTAAGATCCGGCGTGACAGTAGAAGACTAGATAAGGCCATTCCACTTTCCTGTCGCCTGTTTACCATTGAGTGGTGTTACTAGGTTAACAATGCAAATACGAGGTTAAAAACATCACTATCTAGTGTTTTTCCGCCTTGGTAAGCAGATACAGAGGTAGTTTTCAATTAATGAGCAGACAAGAGATCGGAGTTAAATGGGCAAAATGAGCCGAAGGTTGATTGACAATGGATTTAAAGAAATAAAGATTTGGATGTGGTTGCTTTGTGTTGTGGCTTACGGTAAAATCTTTTTAAAAAATATATAAAGATTTGAAGATTTTATCAAATCACCAGTTCGAGTAAATTTTGCAAGTGAGAATTGTTGCAAATGAATGTGTGCTTGATGAGAATATTTCTGATATCTTTCCATAAGGATTTAACAATACCTTGGACTATATTTTTCATTGCTTGATTATAAGTACAATATGTTACAATACAGTATTTCAAATAGCATCAAATCTTCTCAAAATGCATTAAACATTAATTGACTAAACACATTTATTTATAAATTCAAAATGGTTCCATAAATTATAACAATGAAATAATAATTATTCTTACATGCAATATTGTGTTAAGGACAGATGATACAAACGAAAAAAAAAATGAATGCCTGGATTAGTATATATTTTCTGATCTATTTTGGTTGCAAATGAT